CGAAACGCGTCGTTTGGTACCCCTCCCGACTTTTCCGCACCTTTTTTAGGGGTTGTTACCACACCCTAGAGAATTACCCAAAAACTAATTCACTCCAAATAGTTTCAAAAGGTATAGTGTAAAACGAAAGTTATTGAATAATTCCACATAAAATGGTATACATAAATGACGCATTTTCTAAACGATTTAAATGAAACGCATTTGCGAATTGGTAGAAAAGTACTACGGATTGTTAAGTTTTGTTAACTATGCGGTGAATGAAAATTTTCAACCCGGCCTGATGGTTTGATTTTATTACTAACGCGTCTAATAAATTCATGGCTTTTAGTTCTAGAAGAATAAATGTCAGTAAAGACAAGTCTGTTTTGTATAATTTCTGATTTTAATTGCTCAACTTCTTTTGAACCAGAGCAACTGTCAAAAATTTCCAACAGTAAAAAGTTACGAATTGGCACAGCAGAAATGTAAACTTTTCTCGCCATAATAAACAGTTTTTTTCAACATGGAACTTTTCTACTAATTGACATGAAATTACTATCTCAACGCTCGGAGCGCTGCCACTGAGGGCCTTTGCCAACTGATTAAAAAGAGAAAATTTGGGAAGACCAAACAAAAATTTTGAGATTTCTCGTTGTGAATACGAATGCCATAGTTTTTACCTAGCTCGTGGGACTGCGCAAAATTTTGACAGCTTGTAAATATATATACATATAAAGTTGTTGGCGGTATAAGGAGTCAAAATTAAAATGGAGAAAAGAACAAAAAGCGTAGGTTTGTTGTCAGTTATAAAATAAATCCAATTTATTTACGAATATTTGTTTATTCTTTTTATTGAAAGGCAACAACTCGGAAAAGCTTGTGTTAATTATATTGATAACAGAACCTGGCAGGTCGCACGTTGTCTAAATTCTCAAGTAACATAAAGTCCACAAAAGAATAAGTACGCCATGTATAAATTTTAACAATACACAAAAGTAGGTCTTTCGCACGAGCGTTTGTTTGGTTTTTCAACACCATTTGTAATTTTCTTTTAATAAAATCACGATTTGACAAATACTTAAATTTATTTACCTAATAATAGTACAGCACACAACCCTGAAATCTAAGAAAAAGTCTGAGGAAGGCCATTAAATAGCAGCACACAACCCCGTGCCTTCCTCAGGAGTGAATATAACTACAACAACAACGACTACTACAACAACAACCCAAAAAGGTTGGTTACTGTCTATACTGTGCACAATATAACCAGTAAACAACCTTCGGTGAATTTGGCGACTGCCTTCCTCGGGGATGAATATGCTAGGGATGAAATTATTGGTACACACGCCTTCCAGGCACGCAGGGTTGCTTCAAGAAACACAAAATAATTAACTTCAAATAGTTTCAAAAAGTATAGTGTAAAACGAAATTTATTGAATAATTCCACATAAAATGATATACATAAATGACTCATTTTCTAAACGATTTAAATAAAACGCATTTCATAACCTTTTTTGAGCAAACGACATTTGCGAATTGGTAGAAAAGTACTACGGATTTTAAATTTTTGTTAACTATGAGGTGAATGAAAATTTTCAACCCGGCCTGACGGTTTTGAAGAATTTTTTTGTTCTAATTTTATTACTAAGGCGTCTAATAAATGCATGACTTTTAGTTCTAGAAGAATAAAAGTCAGTAAAGACAAGTCTTTTTTGTATAATTTCTGATTTTAATTGCTCAAATTCTTTGCACCAGAGCAACTGTCAAAAATTTCAGCATTAAAAAGTTGCGAATTAGCACAGCAGAAATGTAAAATTTTCTCGCCATAATAAAAAGTTTTTTTCAACATGGAACTTTTCTACTAATTGACGCGGTTTTGTACTTTAATACTACGTTCAAATTGACGAGCTAAACATGTTAAATGGGCTTGAACCAGTTCAATGAACAAAAGAAGTTCATAAACTATTTAAATCCCATGCAATTGTTGTTGGAAAATTTAACCGGTTAAATCTTTAACTCGTTTGAAAACCAGTTCAGCGCAGAGTTGTATCAGAAAGCTTTCTGCTCCGGCCAATCAGAAAGACCCAAAAGCTTTCATTTGACACGCCTACGTTCAAAAAATGTATATTCAGGAAATTATTAAAAATTAAAAATTATCAAAAAATATCATAATTGTATGCATGTCTGCCTGTCTAAAAAGAGTCCCAGGCGGTAATTAGTTATTTCCCATGAGGTCTCATCGTACGCAGAGATAAATAGTGCATACGAACTAAACATTTTGAAGTCTCTAAGTTATCCGTGTGCGTTAATATCAAGAAGCAGACATTCGCACAAAACAAATTGAAACACAAAGACTTGATTTTGAATATTTGTTTCGAATTGTTATTGGTAATCAAACAACCGTCAAGGTTAACTCCAAATGTTCAATGTGGACGATTGTGTTTTCCAAAAAGCTCTTTTTCATTTAACAAGTTAAACGGGGCAAATTTGAACGTAGTATAAACGACGATATGTAAGTATAATTTTGATCACTTTCCTCATGCGTTCTGAACCCTAGTCATCAACCCCATTTTCGAAATTATGTAGGCGGTATAATTTTAAAGTCCATCATATTCCACATCTTTGAATGTACTGATAAAATCTTCTGCTTTCAAAAAAATATTTTTTCTAGTGATCAGGTAGCATGAATTTGATGAAATGTCACAATTTTATTAAAAGTCAAATGGTTAACAACAACAACGAATGTCATTAAATGGAACTACCTTCTTTTTTGTATCATGGTTATATTGTGATACTAGAGTTGTCAAACTATCGATGGCACTATCGATAGTATCGATAGTTTCAATTTTTTTAGACCATGAATACTCATTGATAGCTTATTCTTATACTATCCAAAATATCGATAGTTTAGTAGGACTATCGATCATCTCCCCCAATTTTTTTGAAATTATACACACATATGTTAATCGTAAATCCTGTTTTGTTTGTATAACTTGTGTTTGTTTTTGAACTTTCTAAAAAGAGAAGTATTTTGGCTAAGCAGTTACTTAATTTTGAATGATTATAACTTTTATTAGATAATATTTATTTCACTATGATCCTGTAAAAACAAAGCAACCTAACTGATTTAGCGCTATCGATAGTGCTATCGATAGTTTTGTTTTTTTGAGACTATCGTGAATATTGATAGTTTTTCTGAAAACTATCAAAACTATCGATGTTGTGACTATCGATAGTTTGACACCTCTAGTGCATACTTACAAGTAGAGGTGCCAAACTATCGATGGTACTATCGATAGTATCGATAGTTTTATTTTTTTTCCCCCCTATCGTTGAGTAGTGATAGTTTTTCTCAAAAAAAGGTTAAACTATCGATAGTACTAGTTGACTATCGATAGTTTAAAACCTCTAGCACAGGCAATTTTATTTATAATGGCGCGTATTCATAGTCCAGCAACTAAGTCGAAACTAACAAAGTTGCTATTTAAAGTTAAGTACCAACTTAACATT